CTTTAGGTGATGGTCGATGGACAACTAAGAAAATTCCTGATTGTCATCCCGTTAGTAAATGCAACTATCAAATTTTCACTACACAATGGAATATTTATACGCTTGTAGAGAAAGACTTCATCTATCTAATAGTGCATGCATTATCAAGTATTAGAGGCCAGTCGGGTCGGTCCTAGGTTTTAAATTTTTGGACTAAATGAGCTCCACTGTTGACATGTCAATAGGTGGCACAACCAATCGATACACCAACACGCAGTAGAATTTGGCAAATGCATACCTTTTTAGATTGAAACAGTCTCTCTCTAGAAGTTTATATATATTCCTTTCTGTGGTGAAAAATCATCGAAAAACTTATAGTCTTTCTTTTTTATCACATGATTTTCTTTTTAGCCGGGTGTTAATGCACTTAGTTGGGCGCCAGCTGTTTTACCACAAACATGTGATGATACAGGTGTACAAGGAACAACAGGTGAATCTGTTAAACGTTTTGTTTCAGGTGGATGTGATTGTTTAATTCGTATATGGAAGTAAATTATTAAATAAAATCTTTATTTTATAAAGATAGAAAAAAGAAAATATTTTTTTTTATTATTATAGAGAACAAGATGATGGATGGGTAGAAGAAGCACATCTTGATCAACATAATGATTGGGTACGAGATGTTGCATGGGCACCAACATTTAGTTTTTATAAAGATAAAATTGCTAGTTGTTCACAAGTAAGATATTTTTTCTTTTCTATTCAATATTGAAAATAAAATTATTCAAAAAAAAAAAAAAAAATTAACTTTCGTTTTATAAAGGATGGTCATGTTTATGTATTTACACGTGATACACGTTCATCATTAAATTGGGATTGTACACAAATTGATACACATTTTAATGATGTATGGAGTGTTAGTTGGTCATTAACAGGTGATATACTTGCTGTTGCTGCAGCTGATAAAGTTAGTTTATGGAAACTTGGTCTTGATGGTAAATATCAATGTTTAACAACTCCACATACATCATCGACAAGTGTAGGATCACCATCAATTAATAGTACAATGGAAAGTACGACAGGAGAAACTGGAAATATACCATTAATGGCTTCTTAAAAAAAATAATAAATCTATATGTTTAATCTCTAATTGTTATTTTAGCTAAAATTTTTGTGCAAAAAAAAAAAAAAACAAGACATATAGAAAATAAATTTTTCTTCATTCTTTTTGGTTTGTTCAACTTTTAGATTTGTATTTTTGTAATTCAAAAAAAAAAATGAGTCAATTAGGACAAGTAATTGGAATATTACGTAAATTGAATGATGAATATCAAATAAGTACACCGAAAAAATTAAAATTAATTGATGCATATTTAGTTTATGTTTTATTAACGGGAATTATTCAATTTATTTATTGTCTTCTTGTTGGAACATTTCCATTTAATTCATTTCTTTCAGGATTTATTTCAACTGTTGGTTGTTTTATTTTAGCTGGTAAGAATTTTGTTTTTTTTTTTTTTGAAATAATATTTGTTTTGTTTTCTAGCAAGTTTACGTATTCAATTAAATACAACTAATCGATCAACATTTAATGTTACACCTGAACGTGCTTTTGCTGATTTTGTTTTTGCTCATATTATTTTACATTTAGTTGTTATTAATTTTATTGGTTAAACATTAAATATTATATTAAACTAAAAATGATTTAGTGTTTGTTTTACTTTAAATGATAAATAAAAGAAAATATTGTAATCATTCTTTATATCTTATAGTTATTGATATAAAAGACAAAAAAAAAAAATCATTTATTTTTCATTATCACTATGTTTGTTGTCTGTTTTTTTTCTGTTACGTAATTTGTATGTTAATTCTTAGTATATTTTGCTTAATAAGTGATACAAATGTTATATGTATTTGAGTGAAGACTTTTGTTCTAATACTATCAATAAAATTTCTATAATACAACAACATATTATGAATCTAACAATTGAATTTATGACTATGGATCTCATGATATTTGTGTCCCGTATGAAATTTGTTCTCGTCAAATTGAGAAGACTATCAATGAGAGTGAAAGCAAAAGAGAATGTGAAGATTATGATGATATCTACATTCAATTTCACTACCTGTTCCATCAATTTTTTCATTACTTGGAATTCTAATAAAATTCAGTTCGAGAAAAAACAGTTATGCTTTTAATTGTTAGATCCATAATATATTGTTAACGTAGCAGAAGTTCATTGATGGACTTAGAATAGACAATAACTAGAGGTGTAAACCGAATGGTTGAGCCACCGTCGCCCATAGCCGCAAATTTTTTTAAAACCTCAACTATCACTGCCGTTGCATAAAAAACATACTCAGGTTTCGCATATTTTGGACATTCAGGATCAGTTTATGTGATTTAGAATTATTTAAAATAAAATGAAATCTGTCTTTAAACCTGAAAATCAATTTTTAATCGGCTCAATCAAGAAATAACTGATTTTAATCTATTTTATCAGGTTTGTTTTGTATAAATATTGTTTGGTACAGTAGTCTGCAGTATGATATGTGTGTCAAAGAATTCTAGCGTTGTATTTATCATTTGTTGAGCCGAGAAATCGAAGGAACTATTCAATTTCTTCAATATTCTCAGATGTTGTCTCAGTTACAGGTCGACAAAATCGTCATTGATCTTCAATATCTTTTCTCCCTTCTCGAAACCATTTTGATCATTTGGCAATAATATTATAAGACGGAGTTTGACCGCCGAAAACAGAAATTATAATTCATCATTAATTGATTTCGATTGAATGCTAAGTGCAGTACGCACTGTAATGTAGAAACGAAAATTTTTCTTATTCATATAAAAATAATGGTGCATAGTTTTCGTTGAAGTTTTTCATATGATAATATTACTGTACTAATGTTACTATCATATAAACATGTAGAGCACTCTTTGTAGTACATATATATAAGGACAGAATTTTTTCTCAATCTTCCTGAAAACAGTACAAAACGCTTAATGGTCTAAAAACAAAGCAAAATTCAGATATTAATGAAATTTCGTAATGCAATATATCTGAAGATATCATTTTTGTTGTGCGAATTAGCAACATACACTAGTAAAATACACACTAAGCGAGTTTTGTGATGGAATTTCATCAAAAAATTGAAATGGTTTCAGAACACATTGCCTTGGTTTGTAGACATCTAACAGTTGTACGAAGGTTATATGTTGAAAAAATACTTCGTATCTGATGAAGCGTTTTTTCTTCTGGCGATCCATCCTTGTTTGACGATGTATTCTACAACCATCTCTTACACAAGTTTTCGAGTTGTTCATTCCAAAAAAGATTTCGTATACTCAGAGTATCCCATGCTGTTCAAGAATAGAAACGCTTCCATTTCAAATACTATTGATTGTTCTCTTTTAAATGGTAGACTCAGCTTTCTTCACTTTTAAGTTGGAACCTTCCCATGTTCGGATGACTGATGGCTAGCCATATTGTAATGCAGCAACCAATGAAGAAAAATGCTGATTCTATCTTTGTTTACAAACAGGCAACAGATGGTCAACTTCATAAGCAGAAATCTTATGATAACAAGCAGAGTTATCATTAATTTAAAGAGCAGTGGAAAGCGTATTTTGTATTGATCGAAGACTTTCGTACTACGAAGACAAGACTCGTTGTTATATATTTTCATAAAGCATTACTGGAAACTTTAAAAACCTTTTAGTCAAACCTCGGATTTTTAAAATTTTTATCTGGCAATCCTATCGATGACTATTATTTCATGTCATATGGAAAGGTGCGTAAACAATCAGAAGTCACTTAAAAACGTTGATAAATCGGATGCTGTACTTGTTATCATGCACATAAAAATATTATAAAGTGGATGCGCTACTTATTGCATTTTATGTCAATAAGAAAATAAATAATACATAAAGCTCACAGATTCTATGAAATTTTTTTGCATTTTTCTCATAATACTGGATCATTAAAATCAATCGAAATTCAACAGCCTATAGCGTGAAAGTCTTAGCACAAAATATTTGCTCATTTTTCGATCACCAAAAGACAACTAGTTAGAACTGACATTAAAGTTTTTCGCTATTTCCAACTATATGTTCAGATTGTCCTTCGCAGGTAGGATTAAACAACTTTCAGTAAATTTTCTGAAAAAAAAGTTTAAAACAGTGCCGATGCGGAGCACAATAGCGATTTTCGGGCAGTCCTTAGTTTGTATCTTGGAATAGCTATTGTAAAATATTGAACTCTGTACAAAATGAGATATTGCATGAAGCGAAACCTTTTTCCACCAAAGTGCTAGTTTCTATGAAAGTTGCCATTAGTCAAAAAAGTCGCTCTTTTTCGAAAATTGCTTTTAAAAATACAAAGTTTTTTAAAAATTTATCATGCAAAAGTAAATTTAATGCTTTGTAGAGCAAACTTCGCTCTAGAAAGCTCAGCTATTAAAAATTGCTCCGGATTTTGGATTTAATTGATTTCAATCGGAATACCAAATTGACCAAAATGAATATTGAAGTATAGAGGTAAAAATTTGGAACTCCTCGCATCATAGACTGTATTAATAATGATTCGTTATAATCTATGAATTATTTCCTTATTGCATCTCTGGAGAAAGATGGTGAAGAAGTGTGTCCTAAAATAGATAGAATAAAACAATCTGCCTATGCAGCTACATTGTGATTCACATTTTAATTCGACAAGGATTACGCTCACACCTTTTGAAACAGAATGATGATAATTTTACCTCAGAAGAAAATTTTGAACACATATTTGGAAAGAACGAAAAAATTTGATTCTAACCAACTATCTTTAAATAGTTGAAAAATGAATGAATATTTTATATGCGAAGACTTTCACACCATAGATTACTGATATTGATCACAACTAATTAGATTTAATCTAAATTCTTTTTGTTCAATAATAATAATTGAGTATAAAATAATTTCAATTTTTATATAAAAAAAAACTAAATCAAGTTTTTCTAAAAGTAAGCAAGAAGAGCATTCAATGGAATGGATATATTGGTTGTTGTGGTCTCATAAATCCAGCTTGCATATTTGCATTAGGATGCACCAATGGATGAAATGATTGTTGAACTTGAGGAAAAAATTGAGCGTGAGAAGGCATCCTCATGTTTCGTTGTGGATATCTGACCATGTGTTGAAATTGTTGCGGATGTTGAAATTGTTGTGGATGTTGAAATTGTTGTGGATGTTGAAATTGCTGTGGATGTTGAAATTGTTGCGGATGTTGAAATTGTTGTGGATGTTGTGGATGTTGAAATTGTTGTGGATGTTGTGGATGTTGAACTTGTTGTGGATGTTGTGGATGTTGAAATTGATGATGCATATTAGAAGAAGAAGATGCAGGATATTGTTGAGAAAGAAATGGTGTTGAACTAGAAGGTCGTAATAATTCAGATGATACAGGTTGTCGACGATATTTCACTGGAATACCATCTGAATGATGGCGAGAACATTGAGATGAAGTATCATGTGTCGAATGATTAAATGCTCGTTTATGAGATTTTGATCGACTTTGTTTAAGTGAAGAAGAATCATCATCGAAGTTTTGATCCCTGAGATTTTCTTCACTTCTTATTGCCCGTCTACGATGAAAAGTTGGAATAGGATCATAACCAGATTCTTCTCGAGCCGAATCAACTGCATTAACAAAACTTCGTGGTAATTGACCATAATGAATATTCGATGGTGCAGCTTCATCTCTTATTTGATGTCTATGATTCGATGGAAATGACACATTATCATCTTCTACTATATGAAGACAAATAAATTTTTTAAGTTTTCGAAACAATCCCATACTGACATCAACAATAACAATGATCAACAAACTTGTTTGTTTTCTTTATATTTATGAAATATAAAAATCAGTCAAGCAAATCAAACAATATGTACAAGTAACTTATCAATGATTCATTTTTATTTTATTACATACATGTAGGTGTTACTATTATTCAACATTACGTTTTATTCGAAATGAATCAGTTATAAAATGTTACTCTTGATATATATAGAAATGGGTATTTTTTTTTGTAATCTGTTGATGATATTAAATAATATTTTGTTTGAATCAAAATTAATCATTACAAAGATGCAATATCCCTCTTAATGTTTCATCTTATTTGATCACTATTAAGAGAATGTTGATATCGACAATGAAATATTGACAAACATTAATTTATCTATTCTAAATATACAATAATAATCAGCTTACGATCGAACAATTAGTTAATAAATAGTTACATGAAATAAATCCTTCACCTATTCTTTACTCAATCTCCCAAGCGATATTTAATTTTAGCAATAGACAACAGTCTCTTTATTTCATGGTTATAATAATAAAACTTCTCCTTCATAAAAAATCTCTTATAACATCAACTGATTCAAAACAAATACATGAAAATCAAACAAAGTATTTGTGCATAACTACAAAAGTATATTGAAAATTTTTGCATCTCACATTGATTAAAACATGCAATATCTCATAAGAATCAATATTTGATATAATATATTCTATTTGATTGAAAAACATACAATATCAAAACTCAAGAGAAAAATAACATAATACAATGCCCATAAAAGAACCGAACAAAATTATGACAAAACAAACAAAACATTTTTTTGTACAATTTTTCTGTATGAAAGGAACAGAGTTTCACATTTGTGATCTGTATAAATTGAAACTCAATATTTATACAAAATCTCAAATTTCTTTTTTTCTTTTATGTCAACAAAACTATATGAACAAAGTCAAAGCAATCCCAAAAAACACTTCAAAAACCTTGAAATTTTGCTACAAAAAAAAAAATCAACAAAACCTTAAGATTTTATACAAATATCAATTGAAATTTTTCTAGGTCACAAAATTTCAAACTTTTTATCCTTCACATACAAAATTTGCACAAAAACTAGGACACAATACTATAATTATACTATTCTTGAATATTTTAATACAATACACTCGAACTAACATTTATTATCATTCACATAAAAAAAAAAAAAGATAAATATTAATAGAAATAATTTCACATACATATATCTTCAACTGAAATTAATTTTCTCTTCAGATATAGAGGATACGATAAAGATTAGAACCCGTCAGGGATCACAAGCTCTAGTCAAGGTACGACAAAAGCTTACTCTAAATATATATCTCTACTTTATTCGAGCTTGTCAAAAATTTATCTTGATTGAAATCCATTTTGCTATAATAAAAAAACATCGATCATTACAGATTTCAATACGATAACAAAATAACTTGTTAATAATATTTTGAAATAGATATTGACTATTATTTTATGTTGTTTGCTTTTTTTTTTTTACAATGTTCAATTCATTGATAAATTTGATTCGAAAAAAAAAAGAGTTAATTAATGCGATATATTATATCTATTAAAACGATCGTATCACTTTTCTTTTGTTGCATCAATCAATATTTCTTATTAATTTATTTCAATATATATTGAAGTATATATAGACAAACATTACAAATTTTTCGAATAATCACTTTCTTTTTTCTTCTCATCAAAATTCCAATAATGTAACACTTTCCATTAACAAATATTTCTTGCTATGATTCTGTTTATTCATTACCTTCATTGTATTTCTCATCCTGTTCATATTTAAATGAATTATTTTATATTCCATCTCATTCATGTAAATTTCTCTTTTTGTTTTATTTCATTTAAAAATTTTATTAATTTTCTTTTTTTATGTAGATCTTTCATCATATCTAATTTATCAATCATGCGTAAAGAGTACGCCTTATCAATCAAATAATACTTTTGTTATCTTTCGTTGTGTCAAATAAGTCTTCTGATAAGAAATCTTTTGCTTTTTTTGAATATTATTTTCTTTTTTTTTTTTTTTAGACTCCTCAAACAAAATATCGATGAGAACAATATTCAGTCGGATCATTACCATTGTTGTTTTCTGTAAGTTTTTTTTTCTTGTCTGTTATCAATATTCTTCTCATGATTTATTACGCACCACAGGCACGTCAACGAATTAGTGATGAAGCAATCGAACGTTTCCATGTAATAAATAAACGTCCGACAGATGTTGAAAAAGATCATCTAGCTATAGAATGTAATATAACATTAGCACCAAGTTAATACATGATTTAACAATTGCACGTTCATATCATAGTCGTAATCGTAGAAAATTAACGCAAAAAAAGTTACCTAAAAAACATATAGATTCATTAAATAATAAAATCACTTCAACAAGAGTAACAATTTTCTTTTTTCTTTTGTCAATAAATGTCATTTTAATAATAAAAAAAAAAAAGTGATCTTTATAAGCAAACAGATTTTATTTGTCATGTGGATTCAGTTGAAGTCCATTTGCATAATTACAGAGTCTTGTTAGAATTTATGTTCGTTTAATACATGTATACGTGTTCTTTCCTTCTTTTTTTTTTTGTATACATGTCATCAGAATTATACTGTATCAAGATTAGACAGTCTTGTGATTATGTATGGCTTACAATAATTCATTCTCTTCGCTTTCATCTGATAGTGACAGGTCACCACATGCCTCAAGCGGTACCAATGCTAGCAACCGTAAATGAGGTGGCTCCGTCCACTTGACTGCATTCTTTTCGCTTCTTTATTTCTTTACATTGTACAATAAACGTTCAGAGTAGAGATTGCCCTATACTCGAACTTTATGTCTAATAACGAAGGAGAATAGAGAACATAAAGAAATGTTTCTGTTCGCTTTTTTTCTTCTTTCTCTCTCTCCCTCTCTCGCTCTCTCTGTCGCTCATTAGTAGTCATACACATAGGGAATAGGGCGAGACCATCATGCTCTTGAACAATAACAATACAGTCGGACACAAATACTAAGATGAACTCATCCTGTTAAGAACGAGTAAGTATACTGACTGTACATGTATGATTGATTGACAGAGTGTGTTTGTTTATATATATATATATATTCTTATGTCAAAAATGCTTAAATTTTAATACCATCAATCTGAAATAAAAGAAATGAAGCAATACATATATATATATATTTACTTATTTGATAACCTTCTTTATGATAGCATAGAAACTTTGTTTTACTTTGATATAAAAGAAGAAAAAAAAATGACTAAAAGAAAGAAGCGTTCAAGGAATAAGACTTGAATTGATTCTTTCTTTTTTTTTTTTTATGTCTATATATATATCCCATATACATAAGCATACTTGCATTTTTCTCCTTCTCTCTGTCTACCAAGTTAATCATAAAAAGGAGAAAAAAAAAAAAATATGTCGTCACAGATGGTGACAATAGAATTGTATGTTGAATCACGAAACAATAAAATAAACGAAGAAGAAAAAAAAAAACAGAACTATACGATTTGTATGTTATTATACAAAGAAAAAGGTGAGCTTATAAAACTATCAACGAATAGATCGATTACAATAATTAAACTATTCCTATTGTACTATTATTTAAGACTCATCAGAAAATTGAAAATAGACAATGGACTTTTTCTTTTTTATTGTTTCGTGTATTGAACTTTTTTTTTTTTACATTACAGACAGTCTCCTCATTTATTCTCACGTTTGTCATTTTTACAAGCATATCGTTCAACAGTACCTATTACTTAACATTCTAGATGCTATTTACACATTCACTATCATCATCCATTATTATTGTATATGAACAGGAAGGACGTGCTCACCTATCAAATTCTCTTTTTTTTTTTCGTCTTTCTATTCATATTTCGCGATTCAACGATCAGTAACAATCAATTTCGTATACATTAAATATATGTATATATTACACTTTCATCTTCGAAAAAGGCGTACAACCTCTTGAAATTATATTCGAGTGGACAAAATCGAGTAAAAAAAAAAGAGAAGAAAAAAGGCATGAAAATGTAATTTTCAAGATGCAAGGACATCAATTTTTTTTCAATTTTCGTATATATATATATGTATAAATTTGTTTGGGTGAATAGTTCGATTAGATTTTCTCTTGAAAGCATCACTCTTCTTAACCTTCAACGTCCAGATGTTTAACGACCTTTATTTTATCAATGATACTTGGATATTTGAAATCTGAGCCAATTGCTTTTATTCCCTCTCTCTCTCTCTCTCTTTCTTCTTACACTTTTTGTTTGCATCACAGTCTCTTTTTTTTTTTCTCTTCTTTTCGTTGTCATCATCATCATCTTTGAAAATGCGAAAAGTATAAGTCCATGTCTTTTTCTTTTCGTGTATGTATAATGATGTGGTCGATTTTCTTTTCTTTGCGGTTCATATACACCAGGAAAGAAAAGAATAATTGTTCAGTTCGTTTCAATCACTGCGGTCATCTCCCATATATTAAATGTCAAAGTAGAGAGAAGAAGAAAAAAAGGCGAGAGAGAGAGAGAGAGAAAGAGAAAAAAAAGGAACAGAATTATTAAATGTCTTCTATAGAATATTAATATTAAATTTATTTATCGAATGATTATATTCAATCATGTTCATTATTAATATTCACGCCTATCAAATATATTCAACTATATTTTGGTAGAGTAGTGTCTGGTCGATGATTAGTGAGCCAATCGAAAAATTTTGTTTTTCTTCTTCAAGGTCTATTTTTCTTCTATTTCTCTCGGCAACTTTGACCGGACGGACAATGATGAACGAAAGCAATTTTTTTTTTCGTTCTATATTATACATAAAGGTCGAGATATATTCATATACGAATCGACCTAGGGAGGGCATCGTCCACCATATTTGTATTCAATTTTTTTTTTTTTTTGCAAAATAAGATCTTTTTTTGTTTTGTTTATAGATGTGCAATGATTCAGTCAGATGT